TACTCTGAAGCACTTTGAGACTGCCCGATGACGTGAACAGACAAATCAAGGGAGAAAAAATCCCCATTTTGGAAGTGCTATACGGGATGGCTGATAGAGATGGGGGAAAAAACATTTTCAAACAAAGATTTCCTTTTTAATCTGTAAATTTATTATTTGACACAGATTTATCAAGTTAGTTAAAACCACTTTGAAGGTCACATTAATTATAGTAACCATAATTTTCCAGTCGTATTAATAAGATTACATTTCAAAGAAACACATCCCAATTTCAACATGACACACATTGGGTTTATTGTCATCAGTCTAGCATTTTCCTCATAATTAAGTTCCATTTCATTGATGTACTCAAATTGCAAACAGATGGAACAACAAAGAAAAAATACACAAGCAGATGTTCAGAAAATAGGTACAAAGGAAAAAGAATAAACACTAAAATTAACCTAAAATTAATAAACCATTTTAATAAAACATTTTTAAAAATTGCAATTTTTCTCTGGCATTTATTCGAGTTCAATAAAGATTTTATATTCTGTCCGTTTCCCTGAAGTTCATTATAGGGGGCAACTGGTATGCTTGACAATTGACTGCTTTTGAGCACCTCTCCCAACAATTTGACTTACTTCCTAAGCGCTTTGGGACGTCTAGAAGATGTGAAAAGGGCTATATCAAATGCAAGGATTATTATTATTAATTATGTAAGACGAGCGCTTTCATTCCTACAGAAATTACAGTAATGCCGTATACAAAAAGTTACTGCTCTGCTGATATGAACACTTTTCCTGTAAAAATTGGGAGGGGTGAAAAAATGCAGTCGTACTTTTTGTTGAATTTGAGGAAGCATCTATTTCTGTGATTGAAGGATCTTTGAAACTCCAACATTCCTAGGCACTGAATGGCCAGACCTGAGAGGCCAAAGGAAGAAAAGGGAAGGGCCTTGTTGCAGAGATAAGCGCCATCATAAAATGTACAATTATCAATTACAATGATGTATTTGTAAAAGATATCAAACTGTATTCATTGTGCTAAATGGTGGTAAAATATCTAAGTGGGATTTAAACCCAACAGAAAAGGTTCTGTGGAGAAAGGACTATTTTCTTCATATGACTCACATTTCATGACATTTAATTACTATAATGTTTTCTCAGCTGTCTGTGCACAGTACATTTTGTGCATTTACTTATGCCTCCTGAGTTACCAGCTCATCTTTCCCTGCCAGAAACAGTCAGTAAATGATGCCACAGCAAATGAATATTTCCTGGATAAAGCCTGCTGCACATCATTTTCCAGATAGCGTGGCGGAGAAGGGGATGAGAGAGAGTGGGTTGTTACAAAGTAAATTTTAGACCTAATTCATAAGTTCGTCACTGAAAGACAATTTCTCCATAATCCATTCCTCTTCAACCTTCTCTGGGTGAAAATTGTGACATGAAGCATTATAATTCTCACTTACGTTAAAATGTTTAACTTGCAATTCTCCAGCGAAACAGCACTGAAATACATCAACTAATATTTATAGACACTCTTCACGCAAGATAGCATCTTGGAGCGCTGAAGAACAACTTGAATGTGATTGCCAAAAGATTTGAATTGACTTTAGTCTTTCCTCTTGTCTAGAGAGTTTTTTTTTTGGGAGGGGGGGTGGGGGCTGGGGGAGAAGAGATTCACACCCAGAGGCAACTTCTAGTTATCGATTGGCTTGATCAGAATTTGACAATTTGAGAATTATTACATTGCATTTCACAATTTTTAACCTACGTTAAAGGAAATTCTAAATAGTCGTATTAAAGCAGCAAAACATAAAAGCCTCATAGCACATCAAACAGATTTTTTGGGGGAGGGGAAGAGAAGAGAAAGCATTTGTGTAGCTACCTTTCTCTTCTCCTCTCTTCCCCTCCAGCGGTTCACGACAATCACTGCTACACAAATTCACATTGTGTTTATAACACAGAAGATGAAAGGAAGGAAGAATATTTAAAATCTATATGTTGCTAAGCAGTGGAAAATAATGTGTTTGCCCTAAATGGAATTTCATTCTATAGATAGGAAAACATTAATTATAATATACAATGACAGAGGATTGGAAATTACAATGCTAATTTTATTACAAAAATTGATTCACAGTTCAAAAAGTGAACAGAACAGAATTTTAATGGTTTTTTAGTTTACAACAGAGAGAAGTCAAAATCATGGAATTGAAATTATACTCTCCCTTGCAGCATGTATTGTAAGAACATAGTAATGTACAGCTTTGGGAAAAAAACTGTAGGTCATCATAAAAATAAATCTTACTCCAATCCAACTTTCATACCCCTCGATCAATTTCTTTCCCAAAAGATACACAATCCCTCGCTGGATTTGTTGACACAATCTTCCTACCATTGAGGTGCTATACCAAGATCCCATCTGTCTGCTCAGATAAATAAATCAGAAACCATCTGAAGAGATTAAGTGGATATATTGGAATAAGCATGAGTGAAACCAGGATAGGACAGAATCATGAGGGTGGAGCTGAGAGGAGAGGCGGTAGAGAAGGATAGCTCGATTAACAGTGTTTAAGGCAGCAGATAAAGAGAGATAAAGGAGAACAAGAAGGCAGAGAGAGCCCTAATGACAAACAGAAATAATCTCAGTGATTTTGACCAGAGCAGTTGTAGCCCTGTGGGTTAGGCAGAGACCGGATTGAAGGGGTTCATGCAGGTAGTGCTGGGAAAGGAAACAGTGAAGCTGGAAAACAACTCCCTTCTGTATCCTGGAGAGGAAAGGCAGGTTAGAAGTAGGATGGGTGCAAGGATAGGTTGAGGGTGAGTTTTCCCCCAGAAGATGGGTGGTAACAGCAGTTTTGGAGGAGGTGGGAACTTGCAGTTCACCTAAAATAAAGTCACTACACTTTACAGAAATTCTGTGAAGTGGTGAAGACATTTCAACATTACAGGTTTCATATCAAATGCCAGCATTATAATTGCAACACTGTCCTGGGTAGTCTATTCTACATATTCATTGTTCTCAGTGGAAAGTAATTGCATAAAATGTTTTAGCAAGGTGAAAGACTATTTGACCCAGCTAGTCCATGTTGGTGTTTATACTCCACACGAGCCTTCACCCTTCCTGTTCCTTCCACAATGGCTTTATAATAACCTCAACTGGAATTAGAAATGTTTACAGAAACTAAATACCAGACCAAAAAGTTAAATCAATCCATCATTAACTTCCAATGAGAGATTTCCACATCATTGACTTCTCTAAGAAGTAACCCATCTCCTTTTTAATTCTTCCCACCACTGCGCAAAATAATCATAAATGTATTCAAGGAATAGATAATCTTGATTTAGCATTGAATTCAGAAACATCAAATATGTACAGCAGTGATCAATTCAGCGAAAATGATGTAGCTTGGTGCTATCACTATTTGAAGACTCAAGTGACATTTTTAGCCACGTCCAAGTATATACATAACACATACAAATTCAGCATCCCATTAAACACATCAATTCACACTGATTTGTGCCAACTACTGACAGGTTCACAAACAATCTAACGTGTATACCCAAGCACTTGGAACATTAGCACTTGGAACATTTAAAATGCTAAAAGGAGTCAAAACAGATTTGACCACCAGATGACCTGTTTAAAGAGAAGAAAAATTTCCATGACATAGCAGGACAGTTACCTGTTCAACAATAATGATCACCAACCTAAAAATGTAAAGGAAAATGGTTAAGGTGAGGAAAATGGTTTATTCCTCCGTTTGGTAGGCACAGGCCTGTTTCACGTCCCCCGCCCTGCTCACCCCCACTCGCTGTAACTCCATCATGGTGTCCCTTTGCCTGGACCCTTCCCTCACCTCCTTGATAGTCCATCTCAAGACCTTCCTGTTTCACTGTGCCTTCAGTCAATTCCCCCCACCCACCTCACAACACCCCCTACCCCTCTCGAATCCACTCCCAGCTCGGGTGTAAACCCTCAACTGTCCAGCACCTTGGGACATCTTCCCAATGTGAAAGGCACAATATAAATGCAATTTGTGGTTGTGCCTAGGTACAAACACAAAGCACATCAAGCACTAATTTCAATCAGGTACCAGTACACAGATGTTTATTTTCCCTAAAATATTCCTTGTTGAAGCTTTCATCTCCACTTTCAAAGCTATCGCAATAAATAATGTATGCCAGTTGCGTGTGGGTAGCTTTGTAGTTCAAATTGTGGGACTACCTGAACAAATATTGTTTTTCAATCTGGATTCTCTCCTAATTCTCTTCTTTTACAACAAAGAAACAATACTTTTGTCATTAATTCCAATACAAGATTTAAATACTGAAATGCAGTTGCCATTTATTCAATTATTCCTTCATTTTGTCTTATTCTTGAGTAGAGGGGTGTGTGAGAGGGGATTAGGAGGATTGGAATATAAAAACTGATGCAGTGATTTTGAGCTGAATGGCTTGTTTCTGTGCTGTAACATTCTGTGCAATTGTATTACTAATGCACAATGGGGTCTCAATTTCCATCTTCTCCTCCCCCCACAAATTGCCTTAAATTTTGTGAAAGACTATACTTCACTTAAGGCAGAGAACCATAAAATAACTACATAAAATCCATGGCCACGTCTTAAACAGGTATCAAACCTTTCTAGAAAATTCAGGAAAGGACCTTAGAATTGGATTCCAATGAAAGCTGGACCAAATGTACCATATTTTGAATTTTACTTAGGGCTTGGTAGCTATATGTTGCAGTGGAGCTTTTGTCCCCCAGTAACCACTTCAAAATGTTTTATATCGGTAACAATTTCCATCTGTTGATTATACTCCATGTAAAGAAATACTGTACTTTCTAGTGTTCTATACCTGCCCTTAGCTAACCCTGAACCTTTGCTCTTTTTTCTGCTGTCTTGGTATATCTGAGTAAATTGTTCTGGATTCACATTCCATGTCCGATGCTTTTTGTTTCCACGTTTTCTATCTTTTTAAACATAGAAAGCATGTTTTAAGCATCATATATACCTCAAAAAATGTCCCTTTGAAATGCATTATCGAGTTGCAATGTCTGTCGCAGTCAAACAGGTTGCTGTCACGCGCTGTCTCTTGGGCATGAAGAATGGTCCCTTGAGCAAATTACTTTTGGGCTGCTGGAGCCTTTTTCTAACAAACATCGGCGCCTGGAGGAGAAAACAAACAGGGAAAAATTGACCGAAAAGATCTCTCTTAGACGTTTGTATTTTACTTCGTAGGCTTCTCTGCAGGGAGGGAAACACTCAGTTTACATTTATTACAGGACCAGCAGAGATTTTTCAAAGAGAATGCTGGTTAAAATCTCAGTCAGCATAGATGCTGCCTGTAAAGGATCCAACTCTGGAGTGGGGGATTAAAAAAAATCAGGTTTCAAAACTAAAAGTACCTTGGGCATCCTCCCAACGTGAAAGCCGCTATACAAATGTAACTTGTTGTTGTTGAAACATAAATTTGGTCACCTGACGAGGAAGAAATTATGGAAGTCACTGAAGACATTATATTTGCTTTCAGATTCTACAATTAGTCGTAAGCTTTCCAAGAGATACAGATCAGATAATCTTATATCGCACATTTTGTTCTTCCAGCTATTTGGAGAGTTAACCATCTATGTCACTGCTCATGTTGTGGTGTGATTTTCACTCTGCTCTGCAGTATCTTCTAACCATTCACATGAGGTACATACAGACTTTTAAGAATCTTCACAGTTGTTGCACAGCACTGACTCACTTAATGTGAGTTCCAACAGCACAAACTGTTTGTACAATAATATTCCACACTGCTGAGCACCTCCCTCCCTGAATAAGGGCTTCTGGATATAAATGAAAAATATGCAATGATTCCTGGCTCTGCATATTTTNAAAAAAAACACAAAGAAACACTAATTTGATTTTTCTCAAAAAAAAGTTCGACACTGAATCTTGTTTTTAAAGGGGTATTGGGTTTGTTTCAAATAAAAAGCAGCACATTATTAGCTGCTCTCAGCCAAGAGTACTATAATATCACTAATGATGTCTGTACTAAAATAAATGTAAAAAAATAATATTACTGTATGAAACCAAGATCAAAGCCACTTATTTTACTGGTGATGTTAGTCTCAATGCTTTGGTACATTCTGCTGACGTGAAAGGTGCTATACAAATGTAATTTGTTGGTGGTGTTTCCAGAGGCAGCTGACTCAACTACATTACAAGAACCAGAGGTTCTACCATCCATTTTTGTCAGCACCAGCTAAGCCTGTAGAGGCTGGCAAAATACTTTTACACTTCCCAACTCTCTTGAAGTAGTGTGGAAGGTGTTAAATAATGTAAACTCTTAAGACTAATACAATATCTTGGTATAATATTATTAAGGTTATTATTTTGGTCAAAGTCACCAACAATGTTCTCTCCATCTGCAATAAACGCCAGAACTGCCAATTCCTCCTTGACCTTACTTCTCTGCCATCTTTGATACTGTTGACCACTCCATCCTTCTCCACCTTATCTTTTCTATGCCACACCTGTATTGCTCTATCCTTTCCTGGTTTCACTCAACTGCTGAAATTCACTGCTCACCAGACTCCCCAACTTCAAAATATCCAGAACTCTGCAGCCTGTGTCCTCTCCCACACCGGGCTCAACAATCCCACCACCCGCTTTCTTGCTCGACTCCACCGACTTCCCAGCCCCCTCTGTTCAAGATTCTTGTCCTCACTTCTAAATACTTGCAGTCTCGCCCCCACTCTGCAACCCTACTGCCTCAGCTGCTCCCTCCCCTGAGCAAACACTGACATGCTTCACATCTCTGCTGTCCACCATCGGCGGGCAAGCTTTCAGACACTCAGCCAATTGCTCACAGCAGTGTCCCACAAACAGTCATGGTTTGAGTGACCAAATTATTATTTTTTTTAGGGATTATTATCCCCGGAAAAGCGATCCACCAATCCACTTTCAACCGGGTTCCTACTTACTGCTAGTTAAACAGAGGCGTGTGGACTAAGGAAACTTGGCCAACATTTCGCCCTGCCAGGAATAGAACCTAGGTCTCTCGCTTGCAAGGTGAGTACTCTTACCACTGAGCTACAGGACTCCATTAGATTCCACTCCAAGATGCTAGTAATGTAGTTGTATAATAATAATAATCCTTGCATTTGATATAGCACTTTTCACGTCCTCTCGACATCTCAAAGCGCTTCACAGAATAGATTGTAAAGTGAATTGACCATATATTTGTGGGCGAAACACCCTAGTTCTGAACGAGGAACAAGTTGAGAGAAAGCACTCAACATAATAGCGACTATCTCCACATTTTCTGCATAATTGTGAGTAGAAAAATAAATGGAAATGAGATTGTAGAAAAACAATTTCTACGAGATTTGAAATCCTCCCTTGATGCTCTCAAGCTACCGGCCAATCTCCAACCACCCCTTCCTGTCCAAGGTCCTTGAAAGAGTTGTCGCCTCCCAGCTGCGCTCTTTCCTCTCCACCCATGCATTATTCAAATCCCTTCAGTCGGGTTTCCGTGCTGCCCATAGCACAGAAACTGCCCTGGTCAAGGTCACCAATGACATCTTGACCATCTGCGACCAGGGCTCCCTCTGCCTCCTCGTCCTCCTTGACCTATCGGCAGCATTCGATACGGTCGACCATGCTATCCTCCTCCACCGCTTGTCCTCCCACCTCAACCTTCAAGGCCCTGTCTTTGAGTGGTTTAGATTGTACCTATGTGGAGTCCTGTAGCTCAGTGGTTAGTTGCAAGTGAGAGACCTGGGTTCAATTCCAGGCCGGGCGAAACCTTGGGCAAGTTTCCTTACTCCACACACCTAATAATAATCCCTCCAAAAACAATAATAAATTGGTCATTTTCAATCTACAACTGTTTGTGGGACATTTCTGTGCGCAATTGGCTGCCGCGTTTGCCCACAAATATACAGTCAATTCACTTAACAGTGTGTTCTGTGAAGCGCTTTGGGACGTCCTCCCGACGTGAAAAGCGCTATATCAAATGCAAGGATTATTATTATTATTATTATTACCTCTCCCACCGTCTTCATTTTGTTTCCACAAACGGCTTTTCCTCCGGCCCTCGCACTGTCTCGTGCGGTGTCCCTCAGGGCTCTGTCCTCGGTCCCCTCCTCTTCACCCTCTATATGCTCCCCCTCGGTGACATCATCCGCAGACATGGGGTTAACTTCCACATGTATGCGGATGACACCCAACTCTACCTTTCCTCCTCTACTCTCAACTCCACGACCACCGATGTCCTGACAGCCTGCCTGTCCGACATCGAGTCCTGGACGAGAGACAACTTTCTTCAGCTCAACGTGCGAAAAACCGAGGCCCTCCTGATTGGCTCACGTCAGCGCCTCCGCACCTCAGGCGCTGACACCATCAGCATCCAAGGCTGCACTCTCCACCTCTCAAAGCCAGTCAGGAACCTCGGGGTTCTGTTCGACCCTGAGCTGTCCTTTCTTCCTCATATCCGCACCACAACTGGCACCGCCTTCCATCACCTCCGAAACATCGCCAGACTATGGCATTACCTCACCCCTCACGCTGCTGAAACTCTGGTCCACGCCTTTATCACCTCAAGGCTGGACTATGGGAACTCTCTCTTCGTCGGCCTTCCCGCCACCTCCCTCCACAAGCTGCAGGTCATTCAGAACTCTGCAGCTCGTGTACTGTCCCGCACCAGGCTTCGGGACCACATCACTCCCACCCTCGCTCGCCTCCACTGGCTCCCCATCCCCCAGAGGATCGAATTCAAGATCCTCATCCTCACCTACAAGGCCATTCCTCCCTTTCCTCCTTCAAGGCCGGTCTCAAGACCTTTCTCTTTGACCGTGCCTTCAGCTCCCCTCTCAACTCTCTACCCCCTCCTCGCTCCCTCCCTTCCCTCCCCTCACCCTGACCATTTCCCCCCTGCTCGGGTCCTGACCCAACTGACCAGCGCTTTCGGACATCCTCCCGAGGTGAAAGGCGCTCTATAAATGGAATCTTGTTGTTGTTGTTGCATATGGCTATGCTCATGACACCCCTTAAAGAAGTTAGTTTCAATAACGTTGTGTTTTTGTGGTCTCTATTCATAGAAATCCTAACTACTGGGATTACCCTTCTCTCACTTCTCTCACTTTCTGATCTCTGAACTCATGCCAAAGATTCAATGGCCTTTTGAAGGTAGGACACAGAGAACGGTTTTACAACATTCAATTTTGCATATGAGAGGAAGTCTTAAACTCATTTTGAAAAGACAGGATGTGCAGGGTAAGTTATTGTGATTATGCATTATATAGCGGGTACATAAGAGACTCCAACTCACAACATGTACTGAAGGAACAAATTCCCCTAACGGCATCTGCTATGCTGTAGTATTCCCACATGACAATTTCGCTCATCATTATAATGACACGATTACCAAGGTAAGGAAAGATCTAGTAAACAGGTCTTTTATATACTCTAATTAGTTTTCACCAACCCACATATGTACACAATACACTCCTGGAAACACTTGAATACTAGGACACATTGTAGAAGTCAATTCAACACGGAGAGGGCAAAGACAGGTTGGGTAGCAGAAGGTAAAAGAGAACAAATGAGTCTACCATAAACAAATTCAGAACTCGGGTACCATTTCCACTCAGAATTAAAGAATGACAACAACAAAATATTTCCACCAGTACCCAAAGTTTTCTTTGCCATACAGGTACTTCTCCAGTCTGCTGCCTGGAATAGGTTCTGTTATTTTACACACGTTAAGTCTGCATCATGAGGACGCAGCACTGAAAAGTAGCGCTTTATTATCAGCAACAACGAAAATTATAGCATCAATGAAATTGCTGTGTAATCCTGAAGCTGAATCCTCTTGAGTTGCTAACTTTTGCTACGTGTTGCTTGGAGTCCTGTAGCTCATTGGTTAGAGCACTTCCTCACAAGTGAGAGGAATTCTCAATTCCTGGCAGGGCGAAATGTTGTTTCCTTACTCCACACGCCTCTGTTTACCTAGCAGTAAGTAGGAACCCGGTTGTTAGACAATTGGCAGATCTTTTTTCCAGGGGTAATAATTCCTTAAAAAAAATTATGAATTGGTCACTCAATCCACAACTGTTTTTGGGACACTGCTGTGCACAATTGGCGGCCGAGTTTCAACTTCAAAAGTTACAGTCAATT